TCTAGTGAAACTTTAGCTAGGGATCCTAACATAACCTACAGTTTATCTTTCTACCATTAACATTCTGTTCTGTAAGCATCTCTCGATTCCTAACCCCCCCCCCCCATCCCCCGCCCCGCCGGGGAGAGAAAGGTGTGAAATGACTGACATAAGAATAGGGTCTCTTTGGGATGAACGTTAACGTTCTTGAACAAAATCCAAGCTGGTTATGGTATCCTGCAATTGCAGTACCAATACTAGGCTCTGCCCTCATCGTTTGGCTTTTGTTTAAATATATACCTGTTCGTGGCCCATTTTGCCTTAATGACGAGGGCTTGGAAATGCTAATCAAGAGGATACGTGCACTTGCAGGTTGGTATCTGGATCGAGCAAAGAGTTGGAACCTGGATCGAGAAAAATATCGGAGCCCCCATAGAAGCGAAACTCATTGGATCACCTGGAAGGCCCCCTTTAATGTCGCCATATCGACAGGATGAGAACACAAACCCATGGGGATTGGGCATAACACACTCCATGGAACCACCGCCGCGGTCACACGCGGCGTCTAGGTGGCAACAGGCATATCGCACTCGCGAACGCAACCCTACTCAGTGGCTACGGCGCAAGACCAGGGGCAACCAAGCGGGTGGCGATCATATTGTGGACGTGCGCTAGTCCAGGGCTTAGTGGGAAGTAGTGTCTATTATAATTTCTTGGCCTTGAGTGTTTCAACCTTTTTTTTTCGTGGACGGGAACTGCATGTCCGGCGTTTTTGATCATGTTTTATTTCGAAATGTGATGTCTCGAACTGAACTATCCAGGGAGATAATGATAGTATTTTGATCCTTGATCTGTCCGGCCTCTCCCCTCATCGTCATCTGAAAGTTTACCATCGGGGGTTAAAGCTACAAACTATTCCGGTATACAGCTGGGTTTACTATATATTCGACCCAACCCCGGACTGGCTCTGAATGTATCTTGAGACCTTATCAGCATATCCCAGACCGGTTACCACTAGTCAAAATCCTCAATTTTGATATAGCTTAGTGATATATATATAGTAACTAACTCCCGGTACGTGAGTTGTCTTCCAGTTCTTGTCGAGACATCAAAGACGATACCAAGTCCCTAAAACAAACTGGTTATCCAAGTCAGAGATTAAACACCGGTGTGATCTATTCGTCGGACTCTCCATCGTTAGAGCACCCAGACGTAACGCCCCGTTCGAGCTTCAAAAGGCCCATAGGGCCATATTTGGCTGGCTTTACTATTTACCTAGTCGTCCGGGGTATATCATTGCGAATTATGATAACTTGGATATGCAGTACATCCATCAGAACACTGGTGGTCAAATTTCTAGGCCAGAGCATCTGAAACGCCTGGTGGGGTAGTGAAAGTGCGTGATATTACAGGGCAGAGGTGACGGTCGTTGGTGTCTCGAGATAATGGAAATTGATGTAGGGGGACGTTAGGTAAAGTTAGTCTGTTAGGACACGGTGGTCTTGGCCCCTTCCGTTGCAATATGTCAGATTGTGATTGCATGCGATCGAATGTATGGCTCTACTACGGGGGTTAACGCATCAAATGACGCATTTCTGAAATTCTACAGTGGAGGAAATCGATCAATGGATGCATTTACTGTCGAGGTTTTTAGTAAATGAACCAGCTGATGCATTTACAGCTGGGCGATTTCCCGGACACCATTCCTGATGCCTTTCCTGTTCATTCTTTTGGATTATTTTCCTAATGCCTTTATATTGCCTTTATGATGCCTTTCATGACGCATTTCCATGATGCATTTCTATCCATATTTGCTGGATATAAAGCACTCATTGAGGTTAAATTTGTAACAAATGTTATATGGCTGATATGGTGAAGTATCAGCTAAGAATAAGGAGTTCACAGGTTCAGATCCTTTTCAAGTTAAATCTTATTTTTTTGAGAAATCCGATTTATTTGACACATTTCCGAAGCATTCCCGATGCATTGCCGATTCATTGCCAGAAGCATTGCCGATTCATTACCAGATGCATTGCCCTCTCATTGCCAATGCATTGCCCTCCCATTGCCGATGCATTGCCCTCCCATTGCCGATGCATTACCAGATACAAATTATAAGGGAACACAATTCAAATACATTACCCTACACAATTCATCAGCTACACATTACCGATGCATTTTGCTAACACAATCTACGGATTCATTTCTCTCTGGTGGTAGAGTGGTGCGCACACTCTTAAAGGTGATATGGTGGCATACGGGAGTGAAACAATTGTGGCTGCAATAGGGCCTCATAGGCCAATAAGAGGGCATTACTGCCATGGATCAGTCAGATTTGCTTTTCTGGGTATAAATGGGTATAGTACTGTTCCACTTTGTTCAGTCTTGGCGCATTTTACATACAAAAATACAAAATTTCAACTTCCTAAGGCTTTACAACCCAGACAGATATTAAAATTCTGCATTGATAGAACTAACCTTCATCACTAGTACTAGAGTTCTATCATTACGCTTTTTTTTTACGATTGTTCGTTGAAAAGTTATAAGCCATTGACATTTCGTCGCGATCCGCTAGCAGGAAAGATTCCGTCACGTGAGTCTGCCGAAGTTACTCGAGATTTCAATCGAGCTAGTGAAACGAGTGACCGCCCATGATGGACCTCCGGCAACACGTACTTCTACATATTCTTGCTATGTAGGCTGCACAATTAACGGTCGATCAAAGATGCAACATATACCACAGAGCCTAAAGACCTTTGGCTGAGGATCCAGATAATCGCTTGGTAACTGCGAAGCGTTGGGCCATTCGATGGCTCATTACGATAAATCTTACTGCTCCTGAATACATAGGCCAGGCTCCCAAATCGCTTAGACCTTATATCACTTGCAAAATCATGTTCTATAAGAAGAATACGTGAGCTGCCCATGTATCTTTCTTACTGTAGCATCGCTTACTCCACCTTGTGTTTCTATATGGCACCATAACAGGACAACGTCAGTTACATATACAAACAGTCCCGACTGCGAACCAGCGAAATCGTTCGGAGGTCATATGTCCTAATGACACTATATAATGACTCATCACACTGATTAGACTGCCCGTATACACCATGAGGTGTTTAAAGCCAAGCCCGTTTACATGAGCAACCAGCGCCAGTGCAACGCCCCCCCGGAATAATGAGAGATAAATGTATCAAATAGGACGTCTTCTATTTGATTCTCGGAGAGGTCATTGGCTACATGTACCTACAAACGGCTTGTGACCTCAAGTTTATCCTAGTATGTAGAGCGAACACTGTGTCCAATTGGAATGTATTATTATACACTTTCACCAGAGGGTGAAACGGTATTTTCAAGTTCAAAACGGAGGACCAGGCTACGGCACGATTGGTATAGGTATTTGGCTATTAGAGTTATGACACCAATCAAAATAAGCGACGCCGTAAGGCGTAGAAGAGTAGAGTCTCTCGAATACACTTTCACAAGTGTATAAGAAGGTATTACGCTCTGCAGAGGCGTTGTAGGATGTACATATCGGTTCCTGCTAGAGTGGTGTCACTCATGTGTTAGAGGTCTATATTTCAGACTGATTCCGCTGGTAAAGGCTGCAGGCTCTATGCAAGGTTGCGCAACTTTCCTGTCTTCAACGTGTCATGTTTGAGGTTGCATCTGTGGCCTTGTACTGTGCGAGGTGGTAGCTGGTGTTGTGTTTCTAATGTAGGAGTAGTCCAAGGTCGCTGTCGGTGATAAAGGCTGTAGGCTGTCTGAGGTAGCTATCAGTGGTGGTGTCGCTAGTATGGCTGCCGTAATAGTGTCGGAGTGGTACAGGGAGGTTTGGTCGAAGTTGCGCAGCGACAGGGACGGACGCTGTGATAGGTTGTGCAGTCTGCTTGGCTTATGTTGTTGTACGTCGTTAGAACTAGATGAGGCAGCAGGCGGGGGCGTCGCTGTATACCAAATGGTCGGTTGTGTAGGCCGCCCGAGTGATATCTTACGATTATTGTGGTATCGAAGTTCAGAATGTGTTGCATGTTTGAGTCTGTATGTGAGGGTGGTAGAGGTGTTGTATTCTGAGATTTCTGACATGGCGTTCATACGGTGTGCTCCGGTAGGCGTGCGGAGGGTGTCGTGGGTGGTGCGAGTGATAATCCATGATTAGAGCGGAGGGTGCGCAGGCTGGGTGTCGTAGGGATGATACTGCTAGTGAGAGGGAAGGGATACTCTGGGTGTGTCGTTGTGTCATGCCATTTGTCGGTATGGGCGAGGTCGGCGGTGGTGGGGGGTGGGGGGTGATTTGGGGGTTGGCTATCTATGGCTAGGGGGATCCAGCTAGGGTTGGAGGTCGGTGGCGTTCTATGGCTAATACTTGTAGGGAGTGCACTGTCAGATCTGTTACATATGTAGTTCTTGGCGATCAGAACAGGGCTTTGCTGTGGCTGACAACCGAACCCCCAAATTACTTGTAATAAGCACTCAATCAACCGCCTCACCTAAATCCAACCTCCTGTACCGGGGGTTCACCTTAAATACCGAGACGCCTTGGATTTTGTATGGGAACCGCCCATGGCAACCAAAAAGCAGCCAATGAATTTTGGTCTTGGCCCTGAAATTTGTATGGGGGGAAAAAGTACAAAGACACTTCATATATACTCACTCAAAAATCTAAATATTTTCCTAAAAATACAAAAAAATAACCAAATGATAGCCCTTGCTCTGGCCATCACTTTAATAGCAATCCTAAACTTTCAAATATGTTTTTCGTGGAGTTCGGAAAGAGCATCAGTGGAAAAGAGGGGATGGAGGTTGCTGCAACACACACAATTCAAATAACCTCTTGGCCGCCAAGTGTCCTTTTTTTTGAATCGACCAATAGCAGACGCCCGCTGGCCCTTACAGCCCAAAATGGGGTTCTCAGTACTTACCCTTAACCCCCGGTACAGTGGCCGCCCGCTCATTCGGATTAATATATATATATATTCGGTATATCAGTATATTACACTATCACCGCCCCCAACAACAACATGCCAATCTTCGCCCCCGCCCCTCAAGAATACCTCGTGACACTCCCAACGGAGCTCATCCTTATCATCGCCGAGAACCTCCCGGCTGCGGACCTTGCTGCCCTCATCCGTACCTCCCACCTTCTCCATACCCTCCTCGCTCACGCCCTCGACCCCCACTTCGTCGCATCCGCCCCCAGAATCCTTCTCTGGGCGGCCCGAAGAAACAGTCCCCTCCCCCTCCAGCGCGCCTTGTCTCTCGGGACCCCCGTCCCAGCCGACCTGGGCCTATGCCGTCACACCCTCCTCTACGAGTCCGCCCGTGATGGCCACGCGCAGACGGTGCGCGTGCTGCTGGCCATCGGGGTTGACCCCAACACCAAGAGCTATGACTCGACACCCCTGTTGATCGCGGTGCGTCGCGGGCATGTGAGCGTGGCAAGGATGCTGCTGGAGGCGGGTGCAAATGTCCATCAGAGCTTTTCGTGGAATCCAGAAAAGACACCGATGATGGTGGCGAGGACCTATGCCCGCGTCGTTAATGAGGAGATGGTGAACCTGCTGTTGGAGTTTGGCGCCGGGGATGAAGGTATACATGGGCCGAAAGACTTGGGGAGTAACCCCAGACTCCATGCAAAAAGAAGGCGCGTGTCTGGTGGTCTCGGTCTGCCAAGCTTTCCTAGTCTTCCTCGCCCGCCGAGTCTTTCTGGTGGTCTCAGACCACCGAGTCTTTCTGTCCCCGCTCCAGCGCCCCGCCCCCGTGCCGGGATGTCTGTACGGCGTAGATCCGCTCGTATCTCTGCACTGAGTTCTGGCCGTGCACGGCGTAGGCGGTAGTGACTACGCCAGATTGTTGTTGGTTTGGGTGGCTCACGCCGTAAGACTAGTTTCCGACTATGAGAAGGAACCACCCTCTTGTGATGGAATAGTGCTGTGTTGGTGGTAAGGTGTCGTTGGGATGTTGTTTTACGGTGAGAGCGGTGAATTCCGGGGATCATATGGTGTACGAGATCGGGGTTGGAGGGGGGGGGGGGTATCCAACTACATATAGCTATTTGCTCTTGGGCCTACCCTTATGCTGGTCCCAGGTTGGCTCTTGCAGGGAAAAGTATCACTGTTGGGTCCAGGTGGTTCAAATGTAGCTTTGTTAGAGCAGGATATATTTATATTTACAATCCTAGAGTGGGATGATGTTTACGCACAGCATACTCGTCGCGGAGCAGTTGTGTGTATAAAACCAACTCCTAGCAAACAGGCCACACGTAGATACTGTCAGGAATATCCAATCGTTTCCACCCTTGCGAGTCATGGTCGATATCGATTTTCCCCGCTCTAACTGAGAGGTGCGGTCCCTGTTGCTTACGCATTGATCCTGAGAAACCCAACTTAAAACGTTTCCCAAATACCTGGTTAACGTTAGCCAGCACACATCAGCCCATCGGATCACAACCCCCCCCCCCCCCCCTTTCTCTTCAATCCACAATCTCACAACGACATACATTAACGGCACACTAGCTATAGGATACTGGTAGGTTATACGGCCCTAGCTAGTTATGGAATTAGGAACAACTATAGTTGGGTTGATCGGAGTAAGTATACAATTAACCACTCTCTTATATCCTTTCGTGTCCGGCTGTATCAACCACCCAGCCGCTATCCGTAGCATTCATTAAGAAATAGGCGAATTCCGTATAACGCTTTAAAATGTTACAGGTTATTGTTCAGAGCTCGGAACCGCTCTAAAACTCTAAGGTCTCGCTAATTGATACTAGACCAATTTCCTACACTATTGTAGCGTCACCACGCACACCCCACGAGCTCGAGAAGGAACCAAAAAAAATTGAGACTCCATGATCTGAAGCCCGATGATAGAAGCAAGATGAGTACTCGGAGTCGTGCGAGGTGGATCTTTAGATGGCGGAGAATCGAGGCACTATGTTTTCTCTTTACCAGTTTCCATCAATACTATATTGGGTACCAGCCTTGCCGAAGCGCCTCCAATTTCACAGATAATATTAACAATACCCTCGCAAGTTCTTCATAGCTGCTCCGATAAGTGGTCAAACAGGTTATTTTCAGACCCCTCCGCACCACATCCGTTTCTTATACAAGATGAGAAATCCGTATGGAACACACCTACCCCCACGGATCTAGAAAGCCCTCCTCTTTTGAAAGCAGTTTCAAAAGGAATGAGGAGAATAGTGCATCTATTATTATTGGACCCATCAACGGACCCAAATGTGAAGTCGGCAGCTGGATATATACACCGCACTAGGGATGACTGCAGATGTTGGGTCTATAGAGATTGCTCGAATGTTCATTGGTGCCGCGGTAGATATCGAGGCAAAAGACAACCATCGAGAAAACCTGTTATTCGGAGCATGCCGTAAGGGTGTAGATATGGTCAAGGTATTGCTAGATTCAGGAGCAAATATCGTGCCAAAGGCAAAGTCAATGAAACACCCTTATTCACGGCATGCCTTACGAGTGCGGATTTTATCAAGATATTACTAGACGCAAGGCAGATATCGAGACAAAGTCTTAGTAAGGGAAAACCCTGTTATTTAGCTCAGTCCTAAGAGGTTCAGTGGATATAATTATAAAATTACTAGTAAACAGGGGCGTCAACGTAGGAGCAAAGGATAATCCTGGTGTTATGGCATTAGAGTCGATGGTGACTCTCCACCAGCGCGTTGCGGCGTTCCAAGTGTTGGCTAAAATGGCTGACTCGGGGCCAGAATATTTGAAGTACTTTCCCCATTTATATTGTTGCAGCAAGTCTCAAGAACACTGATGAGATCGGCAAGCACTTACGGGATGCGCTTGGGAAGATTGGTGTATCCATGGAAAAGCTTTAAAAGTTCAACGTCAAACCAACCCCCCAAGTACTGGATGCTGTATCATATTAACAGTGCCCTGCGGTTGATTTCTGCTGTGTTTATTTTGGCGAAGCAAGGGTATCATACTTTTGGAGGATGTCTTACTGTTAGTTTCTGTTTAGCGTTGTAGTCCCAGGTAGATGAAACCAAAAATTGAAAAGCTATTTCTTTTGACATTCTAGCAAGTGGAGGTGAAGCTTCGAACATGGATGCATAGAAGGAATGTGTCTATTCCGTACCATTCGCTTTCAGCGGCCATACCAGCCGACAAGTTAGCTCAAGACAAAGAGTACTTCGGTTCTGCTAGTGTCTGAGTATGTAGGAAGGGGAGACGTAGACAAAGGTTAAGGATAAATTAAGAATTACCGCGCGCTCAAACCAGCTCCCTATATCTAAATACACATTTCACTTTGGTTGCCGATCATCGACTTAATTTCTGAGATAGATAGAAGCCTGACACTATATCATGTAGCGATAAAGGTACATACCTATAGTGCCAAAGCTAAGGCAGGTTTGCTTTTTGGGGGGGCTTTTTACATTCAAAATAACCAATTTCAACCCTCTTGGGCTGGCAACCATTCAAGCCCACTAAAAAAAACCTACAAAACCACAATTAATGGCTAAACCAAATGTATTGAAGTCATGGTCTTTATGCGCAAAAGTAATTATCTCATTAACTATAATGGTTACGGTAGTAGATAGCAGGTATAAGTAAATGGCGAAGTCAGTAGCTGCTATCGTACGTGGGAAACAATACTTAATTTCACGTACAGCAAATATATAACTTCATGACTACTATGTGATGTGGGTTATCTTTGCAGTCATTGACTGAGAAGAAATAACAGCAGTGGATTATCGTTGCTACTCTAGACTCCGTGATGTGAAGATTTGGGTTAATACTTACTATATACTTTGTTGAATGTCATTGCGCCAACGTACATGTTGTGGAAACTCATCGCGGATGGAAAGATAGCTTGAGACTGAAGGCTTGACATTCATTGATTATGATCAATCCCCTAACTCTAAGGCAATACTCTCTGTACACGCTACACCAAACACCGGCCAAGCTAATCGTGGGGTTGAGTGCACGAAAATTTAAAGCTTTACGTTATATTATGCCAGTAGAACGCAGCCGCGGGCCGCAAATTTGCTAAATCTTAAGCCTATGAAATAGTAATAAACTGACCAATCTAGCTACAAAGTAAATGATCCAAGATATCTATGGACCTATAACAGCCGGTGTAAACTACTAACCTACAAAAGTGGATGCTACATATGACACATCCCTTCCGAACTCGGGAGTCTCTTTGTCCATTACACATAGCAGTCCTTATGGGGCGGTAAATGTGTCAAAAGTAATTTCACCACCGGTGGTGAAAATAATACCAGTATTTATATATACCTTATAATGCTAATTTTATGATAAAAGCACAGATCGTTTCGCTAAAAAGGGCCATGCCCATATAATGCCAATATATGTGGAAATTGTCTACCGGTGGGGAATTTTCATAGGTTTTGGCATTAATGATTGAACATTTACTTATTTAGTATAGCGCAGCATACATAATGACCGAAACCCAATATTTATACCGGTGGGAAATGCACTAATGTAGGATAGCGTGACACATTGACTGAAATTCTTACTACCGTTGGTAAAACCACTTTTGACACATTTACCGCCCCATACGTCCTGGTAGAAGAAACTCAACAAATGATAATACTTCCTGACCACAACGAGGAAGATTTACCATTTAGATAGATGTGTAAATATATTCTACGCTGTATCTTGACACTGGCAAAGCACCAATTTTGTAAGTTCGTTCCGAACACAGTCAAGTCTACACATCGATCAAGTCAGACCAAGTTCAGAAACGTTATAAACCCACGAGTCCACCTATAGCTACACATGTGTAACTTCATTCTCGACCGAAATACAAATCGAAATGCGCATTGATGGAAGGATTTGCGGTCTTGTATTACTTTGATTTCTATTGAGGTTGGGGTAAGATTGGTCGACTAGCTTATACCACCAGTCTAGCGTACGTTCCTGGCCATAACCCATGGTGGAAACAAGAATTTGTATTTAGAGCGTGAGGTAAAATTATTGTAGAAGCATGGGAAGAGTCCCATTGGCTTGCCCAGCCATAGAAACTCAGTTTTTAGACACCTGTTTCTACAATAATTTTACCTCTCGCTGTCCTTCGGTATCAAGGGTAAGTTAGTAGAACGTGGCAGCGTGGCTAAAGCTGTAGTTTTCCTGTTTTGCTCGCGAATATGAACCGCCGCGTTCTACTCACTTACCCCTGATCCCGAAGTACATGCGGAAAACTGGCGTCTTACCTTCAGCGCAGGCGCACTAGGCAGATGGTCCACAAGAGCAACCCAGCGCCAAGATCTCCGCACCAGCCCGCATGCAGGGCGCTATGCATGCATGTTCTAGGTTTATCAAGGTAGATCTACGAAACTTGGCTGGAACCTGCGTGTCGGGATGGGTATCAATCTGGCAGATATATGGATTAATTACTGCCGGTTAAAGCCTTAGAATTTACGGTTGATTCTCAATCAGATAAACACGCGCTCATTAACCAAAGCTTCATCAACAGATGGGAGGCTCGGGTACAGTAGAGTTGAAGTCTAGATTGATATGATTTTCTGCCTTAGGATATAAGGTAATTACTTGTTCCACTCATTGGAGTTCACCTCCTAATATATATGCTCGGCCAAATGTATCGGTCCTATGGACGCAGAATGTAACGTCTTAAGGTTGCCTCGCGAAACACTCGGTGGACATTACTATTACGCAAAATAGAGTCTTTTAGCTGCGCGCGCGTGTTGAACAGAGAGTCGAGCAGGTTGGGCAGAAAGTCTAGCTGTTTTAGGAAGAGGCTTGCAGTCATTCAACCAATAAGATGTGCAGGACTGTTTGTCGAAGTGCTGGACTCTCTGTTCAGGACCAACTCTTGAAGCTAAAAGACTCCAATACATAGTACATAAATAAATATACTCTACAAAAATGTATCTACGTTCGTACAGTTTGCCTTTCTTTTAGCAACTCATGAAATATCACTCGGCATCATAACAGACGAAGGTCGGCTCACCTTTTAGGTGCACATTCGAAATTTCTCCAACTCTAGAGTACCGATATTTCTGGGATATACGCCCATGGGCTTAAAGCAAAGTGGTGGGAGGAAAACTGGTGGTGTATGCATATTCCCGTGCCTTAAGCCAATCAACAAACACTTTTCTACCAGTACTTTGCTTTAAGCCCATGGGCGTATATACAGAAATATCGGTACTCCGACTACTGTTGATGTTAGCTTGGCCTAGGATCGAGCCTACCCAATGATGAGCAACAAATTAAGTCGATCGATAAAAGCCAATGATCTCCAGCTTGTAATTTGATGCATGCAGAACTCGAACATACACTTTGCGCCAGGATTTAGGAGTTGATACGGTCGATCGAATTTGCCAAGTGCATGAGTGCATTCTTGTTCGCTTAATCATGAATCCCCTATTACTACTTGCCAAAGCCTAAAGAAAAAGCAACCTCCGGTCTACGCGGAGGGTATTAGGCCTTTGCTCAGAGGAAAGTTTATGGTGCGCACCACGATAAAGGTGACACTTTGGGACGACATTTCAAAAGCCTAAGGCTTTTCAACAAAAAATGTTAAAAAAAATGTAGAAAAATAGAACTCTAGTGCAAGAGCTAAATATTAGTTCTATTTTTGTCGATTTTTAATATCTATTTTAGATAAAAAGCCTTAGGCTTTTGAAAATGCGGATTTTTGTATGTAAAATGCGCCAAGCTTTCGCCGAGTGGAACAGGCTTGGCACAGCGCTGCAACGACACCCCAACGACACCCAGAACGACACCCAGAACGCCAGAAAGTGACGGAGTCGGCCCTGCTGCAAAACCACCAAATGAAAAGATATTAAATCGATCTTTTGGGAGGTGATAGCCGGTAATCTAAAGAATATATAGAAAATATAAAACAAAGTTTTTCTTGAACACATGATGATCATATTTGCGTTTTCATAGATCAAAAGGGTATAAGGCAGTAGATATGTGATCTTAAAATTATTTACAGGGTTTTATATTGTTGAGACACCTCTTATCCATCATCATCCCGAAGGGTAGAATAATATCTTGTGTGGTTGTGGCGCTAGAATTAATCTAGGGGGGTGGTTGCCATGGAGGGGGGAAATGATTTGAGTGCAACATTATTGCCCCTTACTTTATTCACTATAACTCCACCAATATTCAAGCTATTGACAAGCCGTTTGGAGGGTAGCTTGCTGGATAGTATAGCTTGGACCATGAGGAATCGTTGAAAGTATAGCTATGCAGGTTCCCGCCAACGATTATGGGTCTTTGCAGGGTATTACCTTACTTTACCCCACCCCACTCTGGAGGCCCTATCTCCATGAGTTTTCAAGATATTATCAAGCCCTTTTCAGGGAAGCTATATTACTACTAGACTCTTGATATTCAATCCTCGTTTGAGCCGTATGATAAGCGTTGAGATTTCCGATTTTCAAGTCTTCCTCCCATACAATAATGTTTAAACCAAACACTAGGTACATAGAATAGTATTCAGAACAGTCTTGAATCATCAACAGATATCCTTCTATGACTCTTGTATGCCTTCTCCTTAAACTCATCGATTCCATAAACTATTCCCTGTCTATACACATCCATGATTCTCAATGATTTGCCCCACCATTTGGGTATCAATGATGAGGCTTCCTCTAATGCTAAGGGAACATTTCTCCTCAATGATTTAATATCATACTCACAATTGGTTCTAGTATAGAGCTTGACGCGAGCCCAGAAGTATTCTATCCAGTTCAATTCACAATGGAATCTAGGATAGAATAATACCATATGACCTTTGGCTTCAACAATCTCTTAAACTCTTCCTTTCTGTTCTAAAAAATCGGGTTGTTGGGAGAGTAATATTCTGGAACAACAAGATGGCTTTTGGTGTGGTATTTTCTCTCCTAAAGGCGTCCTTCGACTAGTGCAATCAAGATATAAACCTTCCTTTGGCCAAATCCCCCTCTCCTCCAGAACCTTTTGCAGCCCCTTAGGTTGCCCGCTAAGATTCAAAGGAATTCCCTCATCATCCTGCGAATAATTCATGGACTGAATCACCTTCTCCCCATTTTCATTATACCAGTATCCATCTCTCATATGTGGTTGCTCTCCTTCAGGTCCTTTGTTCATTTTTGACGATTTTAATGCATTCTCAGCAAATGCACTATAACTACTGGCATTATCAAATAGGAAGAGGGCCTGACAACCTGGGTATGCTGCCTCGAAAATGTTGATGGCAGTGAGTGTTTGTTGTACTATGTGGTCCTGATCCCACCAGATATCACCACCACACTGTATAATCTCTGTAACATAGCGTTTATGCAACCCATGTTGAATCAACTCTTGATCTGATGATTCATATTCTGGCACACATAAACGTCCATATGGTGTAATAAATTCGGAGATATGAAGGCCCTGGCCCCTGGATTTTTTTCTGAGTGGATTCTCATCGCCTTTAATCCATTGATAGTGTGGGCCATCGTTGGCATTGTATGTTGCTTCATCATGAGTGACTGGTATGCAGAGCTTATCACCAGGCTTCAAGTAGGGAATTTCCACCTCTTCAACATCACCATTAGAATCTCTAATGGGGTATGGCATTCGCGGTTTTAGATCCTCCAGGGTTTTGAGAAAAACATTCTGTCTATACTCCACCATATCCTCTCTCTCATGACCATCTTTATAGACGCCTTTTTTGACTTCCTTCCAGCTATAGCCTAGTGTATGTAGCCATCTCCGAGCTGTATTGGCGTGGATAGTGAGCTTTTGAGAAAATAGTATACTGGAATTTTCTGTCTCATCAAGCTCCTGCAGGGAGGTAGATAGTAATTGAATTTCCTCCCCCATATCTGCCGATGGCGTTTGGGACTTCCAATATTCAGACACAGCTTTGCATATCATTTCTGCTCTGACCCCTCTGCACACATTAGCTTGATTGTTCCCCATTTTATAATATAAAGTACTTACCACCACTAGCACTAGAGATGCACTCCTGAAGAGCCATAATTGTACCCTCATCCTCCAACAAACCAACCAATTTGGCAGCTCTCCCCTGCTTACTGCTCTCGATTTTTCTATCCTTAATCCATTGCTTCTCATTCTCTATTATTCTCTCCCTAACTTTTGAACCCTTGCCAAAACCAATAGTCACATTCATAGCACATTCTCTCCTCGAGGGTAATGATTGTAAATGCGGATTTTTTATTCCTCTCAATTGCCAGTTCATAAATTGTAGGACTTGCAGGTGCCAGGTAAAATCGTTGCCACTGGGACCCTTACTAGACGCCATAACTGCCTGTATATCTCTGACTCCTATGGTATAAAGCTATTAACAAAAAAACCCGAAAATATGTGTAATTCAAGTTCAATATAATTACTGACTTTTAGATAGAATACTGAACCGAAGTCCAACACTGTCAACATCCGGCCATTGTCCTTTAGCAGTATCAATAGCCTCTTCGCTTTCTAGATTTGGTGGTAATTGTATAGTTGGTTGAGGGTCATTATCAATATCCTCAAAGCCAGCATCCTCCCCATCAATGTCCATAACATCTGGAATATTAATACCGCAGGTCTCCCTACTCTCTGTAGCTTGACTACCTTCACTATCATCGAGGTCACTGCTTGCTATAGCCATGGTTGTATAAGGTGTAGACTGAACAGTATCAAACTGCATTTTGCTGGGTGGAGATACACCACTATTCCCTTGGCTGAGGTTACTGATAGGGGTCTTGTTATGTATGTATTGATGCTTGAGAAGAGCGGCAGTACGAAGAGCTTTTTCTGCGGCTGCTGCCTTGGACTTTATATGCCAAATAGTTGTTCTAGGTCTCCATGGAGTGTTGATAAGTGGGGATGTTTGAGAGACAGGAACAATTATGACCCTGTGATTTCGCCTTGGCTGCTTTCCAAGCTGCTGCATATGGTTTTTTTTCTGAAGACCCTTTGCTCAAGGCATTGTGTAGTAGATTTTGGCGAATGTATGTAACAACTTCAATTGAAAGCGGGGTAGATGAGGGGTATATAATGAATGGTTACACTGGCACCATATACAAAATATATCACATGACGCAACTTTAAAAATCGGAAATCTCAACGCTTATCATATGGCTCAAACGAGGATGGGATATCAAGAGTCTAGTAGTAATATAGCTCCCCTGAAAAGGGCTTGATAATATCTTGAAAACTCATGGAGATAGGGCCTCCAGAGTGGGGTGGGGTAAAGTAAGGTAATACCCTGCAAAGACCCATAATCGTTGGCGGGAACCTGCATAGCTATACTTTCAACGATTCCTCATGGTCCAAGCTATACTATCCAGCAAGCTACCCTCCAAACTGCTTGTCAATAGCTTGAATATTGGTGGAGCTATAGCGAATAAAGTAAGGGGCAATAATGTTGCACTCAAATCATTTCCCCCCTCCATGGCAACCACCCCCCCTAGATTAATTCTAGCGCCACAACCACACAAGATATTATTCTACCCTTCGGGATGATGATGGATAAGAGATCTCTCAACAATATAAAACTCTGTAAATAATTTTTAAAATCACATATCTACTGCCTTATACCCTTTTGATCTATGAAAACGCAAATATGATCATCATGTGTTCAAGAAAAAATTTGTTTTATATTTTCTATATATTCTTTAGATTACCGGCTATCACCTCCCAAAAGATCGATTTAATATCTTTTCATTTGGTGGTTTTGCAGCAGGGCCGACTCCGTCACTTTCTGGCGTTCTGGGTGTCGTTCTGGGTGTCGTTGGGGTGTCGTTGCAGCGCTGTGCCAAGCCTGTTCCACCCGCCAAACCTGACTTGTCACCTTTAAGATGGTGCGCACCATATTTACAAACATACCTACAATAATTATGGCTCGAGAGGCTATGGTAGGTAGGTGTGTAAACTTCGGCGTTCGCAGATAATTAATCTATAAAAATTGGGAGATCGACTCCCATAATGCTACTAGCACCTAGCCCAATGGTGGAATTTTCTCAAATTCCCATACAAAAAAAGTTCCTCTGAAGTTGATATATGCCTTCTCGCGTCATACTTGCGGCGACATTAAGGTTTCGCCACTATTTAGGTTCAGCAGAACCTTGCTCCTAAAAGGCTCAACACTGGTAGGGATTCTAATATGGTGGGGGAAATCTTGACACGGAGTGCTGCGACATTGATTTTGCTTACTAACACATACAGATTACGTGCCAAGAGCGGTCCGGACGAGGAAAAATACTTTTTTTGACCATACAAGCGACATTGTCCCAGCAAAAATATTTTTATAACTCAACAACGAAGAATGATTTCAAGAATCTGAGCAGATAGAATGATAGAGCAGGTAAAACCGAGTAGATCTATCTAATAAAATTAAAAATATGTGTGGTGGTTGATGAGCTATAAGCGGTCAAAGTTGAGGTATCCAAACTACTCCGTGACAAGGCTTCCCCCACCATAGATGTTGGGATGGAGAAAAGTCAGGGGTAGATCGATTCGAATATGATCAATCACAGTATGGCGGACACCTCGCGACATTCCATCCAGGAATTACAGTTGTAACTCGATATGCCGGATTGCGTACGGGGTAGCAAAAAATCCGGGATAGCAAATTAATTTTGCAGTAAGAAAATTGAAATCCCAGAGGATTTCGTCCGGGACAGCATGGGATGCGACTGAAGCTACATGTTAATAATAGCCTTGGTAATGATAAGCGCTTGGATTTTCATTGCGATAGCACTAATTAACATGGTCTGCAACATTCACCCTCAAGACTCCGTCTTAGTGTATAACTCCACAGAACAGATAAATCAATTTGGGCCGCGTAGAGTGATAGAGCAGGTGAAAATTAGTCAAATAACAGGGGATAATTAATATGGGGCGTGGTTGCTAACTGGCGAGGCCTCGTCGCGTTCTGACACCAGCAATTAAGGGTTAACCTTGAAGACACAGCACGTCCTGTGAAAGAGAAAAGACGTAGATACTTACATGTAGCTATGGATACATAGCATTTTATAATTTAGCCCCATATTTCTGCCATAATTCGGCTGTAGAAGCCACGCGCGCCACACCGAATGATGGGTTACATACAGGGTGGACTACAATTATCCCAGTAGGGTATGTAACTTGGGAGTGGGGAAGGGGGCAGCCTTCACGCAATCTTTGCAGCGTGGTGTCTTCTCACTTATCCTGTACCCGTGGTAGAGTACGTACATACCGTACTCTACATACACCCATCATTCTGCATGCAGACCTACATATATACTCGTAAATTCATGACGTTCCCGAACACGACTGCTAGTGCATACCATACAAAAAAGCGCCAAATCAACCTTTTTGTATGTCATGCAATATTTGTCGGAAACGCTATGAAGCTACGAGTATGTGGCTAGGTGCTGACTTTGGCCCTCATCATGTCAATCATTACGTACTTGGGCACGTTATACTGAGGTTGTAATGTTTCCTTCTGAGCTAAAAAGCCGGTAGCATAAAAAGGAATACAATTCCCCTAACTTTCGACCCGAAGGGCTAGCAGGTACTCGAAATCGAGCATTTGAAGGTAAATGGAGGAAGAGCTATAATTGTTGGAGCGAGTGCATGGTCTCTTGAGGCCCTGGTCCAACCAGCAATATAGTTAGCAGTTGTGTCTCATGTACGTTCACGCGGATATACCGTACAATCACTCTACCCTTCGCTGTACCTACATGTAGGTACATGTAGAGTAACCTCTATGTAGGTACTTGGTAGCTAGGTGCATAGATAGAGTACAGTCGCACCTCGCTATCTCGTAATTCGATATCTCGGATCTCTTGCTGTCTCGTACGAATTTGCGGGACAGGTACTGCCCTTCTCCACCAAAAACCTTTTGCTGTCTCGTATATTTGCTATCTCGTAGGGTTTGGCTCCCAGAATACGCTAACGAAATAACGAGGTGCGACTGTATATAATGTACCTACCTACATACATTCATCGTTGGAACTCTACGTACCTAGGTACTCTAGAGCGCTTTCTGCCAGCACAAGAACCAGAAGATGCGGTTGATAAAGTCAATGGTACTCGACTGTACCACCTATATGCACCCATTTCCGAATACAGTGGATTATTGGGTATATTTATCCTGGTGGACTGCGCACTCGGAATTTGACTGATCTGATACAACTCTACAGTTGCTCATGCTCAATCAGATCCTACATAACGTGCCACACCGAAGGTGCTCTACCAGGGATCGGACCAACCAGGCAGTATACACTACTGATGAGTATTAGCAGTGGCTACGGTCGATCTGGGGGTCAAAAAGACAGCACAACTGTGCTCGGCGTGCTCGGCGTGCTCGGCGGGAAGTGAAAATTGTGGGTGCTGCTAGACGCTGAGCGGTATTCTTTTCACAATAGGCCCTTTGCGCAGGAGGCTTCTAGGTTCCCTGTAGCTTGGCATTATAGAGATTTTCGTTGATCTGGGGGGGGGGGGGGGTCAAAGGCGGAGCCAGATGTTGCTTGCCACTGATAAGCGTTACCCAGTTTTTGGTGATAGAAGAAACTCAACCTATCAACATTGTTGCTAAATTCTTAAGGATTTGATATAAGGTATATTTATATCTAAATTTTTATACCGTAAGAGGGTTTCTATGAAAAAAGATGTCTATGAGGCGATTCTACAAATGTTAGAAGGAGTGGAGGTCAAACTCCACAATTGCCCTCTCTCTGGGAGTCAAATGCAAGGCTAAATCTATAACTCCTTGGCTAATTAATGCCAAGTCAGTCAAAAAAGACTCCAGATCCCTCGAACACCATTATTATAGACCTCGTTTGCGTCGTTTCTTTCTGCGTGTGCGGTAATTGGTGGCGTCAATGAGTGAAATGGGTTCTGCGTCTGGCGAGTAAAAAGGCTTTACGCGCTGGGTTGATTAAAAGTACCGACCAATTGAATTCAATTCATGAAGTAGCGCCCAGAAAATGCTCAGCACACGAAACCTGGTAATAACCAGTTTATTAAATCGGTCCGATCCAGCCCTCCTTCCACCGTGGCGGTCTGGCGTACATAGTAGTACGAAGTACATGGTATGACGGGGAGATACCTTAACAACTGAATTCAAGCTTCTCCGATGCAATCACCTGTCGATTGATTGAAACCGTGTTCAAGAGATAAAGTGACCAATTATAACGACGATATCCTCCACGCGAGACCCAGTTTTGCGCTAAGTGGGGTGGTTCCGGTGAGTACTCTGCTTAGAGTTGAGCGATAGAGTACATGGTCGAATTGTAACATCTCGGCCCTCGCAAAGATAGTGGTAAATACATACATGCCAAAAGGGTAGCCTAAATGTTAAAAGCTTTTCGAAGAGCTCTCTGGCCAATGCAACCTGCTTTTCTCCGGATCGCTGTGGCTTTACTGCAGTTACTTGCAGTAATCAACTGAACATTTGGCTTCATCTCAGACATTTGACGGTCCCAGCTACCCAACTCTACCTACGTATTTACAGCTTACAGTAAGATTATTATAGAAATATGGGAGGAGTCCTATTAGCTTACCCAGCCACAGAAACCCTGTTTTTAGACCCCTGTTTCTACAATAATTTTACCTCTCACTGTACGTACCCTCTATCTGAGCCTCTACTTCCACGTGAATTCTTGTTGGTACCCGCCGGATGGTTTGCTGGCCTGGCTCAGGAGAGCACATAGGTATGTTGTAGATGGTTCTTATTTCGTACATATGCGCGTTGATAGACAATGATATTCTAGAAGCACAGAACCAATGGATGTGTCACGGGCATGTCTCCAGTGCAACAGCTATGCCTCCTCATGGACCCTTGCAATTGGTCTAACAATAATTTGGGCGATCTATCCTTTGATAAGAAAGATAACGCAAAAGTCTCATAGGGGATATGTAGCGGGGTGCACTGAGCATGTGCCCGGCGACTACTAGTGTTGGACTGCTTGCCTGCACAAAATGCGCATTTGTTTTTCTGCGCCAGCTTCTCATGTCTTACTGGGCAAAGGGAAAACACACCGGCCTTATGTCCCACAACAGTAAAAAGTGCATATTTTGAGATCCTTCGGCCAGTGTATGTAGAGTACAGTAGGTACTTCAGAAGGCTGTAAATTTCCAAGGCTAAATGGCATGTAGGTGGCATATCATATTTCATTTCCTTTTGCCTTCATGGGACCCCATATTGTTTGGCGCATACGCGATGTTTAGGAAGCCATTGGGGAAATGACTTTCTCGCAGTCGCAAATTATTATGCCGGAGCCTGATATCTAGATCCCTGTTTCGCACAAGACCCTCCGGTTACCTTTTTCATCCGGTCCCCCGATTGCTCGGGAATGTTTGCTATCCCGTGTAGAATTTTAAGCCCATTGGTATGCCTTCCACCTCATGAAAACAGCTCTCAGCCATTAATCTCCAATTTTTTAAGAGATGACCTTCTAAGTCTTGTACAATATACCTACATATCTCGGGCGGCCTGTCGGTTGGGTAACCTTATTTGTATTCAAATACCGATGTACTTTGTGCGAAGTGTGCGAAGGAACCGTACCTATATCGCTTTTGGTTTTGGTTGGATTCGTTGTCAGTTATTATTAGCTAATGGGGTAAGGTAAACTCACACAATCATGCAATCTTCGTTGTGCTTCTTAGATCCGAAGGCGCGGGTGGACCTCAACGATCATAGCTCACCTGTTGGTAGATTGAAGCTGGATAGATATATATGGTGTGAATCGATAGAGTTCGTGGTATCACCCACTCAGATGCATCATGAGAAATTTCGTGGTGATATCTCTAGTTATATTATATTGATCGTCATGCCAAAGATAAAATCAACTATATAGCTCTATTTTCAGAGTACTTACTCTACTGACGAGCGGAATATTACTTATATTAGCGGTACTAGTGCGTCAGACCAAAAGCTGGTATCTGGAATCAATGGCAAGCCTACCTAAACCATGTACCACCTGAGATCGCAACACAAGATGATGGATTGAGAATTGGCCAGAGGTCTCTGGATAGGACAATTGGGCCGGCAAAATCCCATTCATTACCATAGAAGCTAAGAATTAACCGGAAAATCCTGCATGGTATGGACATGCTCGCAGCAGGCCTGAAGTACTCGACTTCTACTCCAATGGCGATTGCAGATTAGTGCTTGTACTCGAGTACTGGTTCCCTGCTACGAGTATATTTGTATCCGAAACATTGACTGTACTAGTATTTCGCTGACGTTTTTGAACTGGGCCATTATTGCATACACCCAAAATCATGAGCTTGGCATATTTTTGTATGGCATGCAATATCAGTCGCGTCCACAAACGTCAGAGAAATACGAGTATGTAAATACCTACAGTCACTCACGGGGTGAAGGCGGATCCTGTCTAATGGCGGTCAGGGATTTGAGGCCAATAAAAGAGTTAGGTTTTGGACGCCAATAAAAGAGTTAGGTTTTGGACGCCAAGGGCAAATTACTGCAAACAGAACCATCAGACAGGATCCGCCGTCAGTAGGTGAGCGACTGTACTCACGAAATTCGAAAACCCCGTAGGTGATTGATCGAAATCAGCTGGGAACCAATAAGAGCCTACACCCGAGCATTAGTCCCCAGATCAATCTTTTTGATCTTTCCTTTTTTCTTTACTTTTTCTTTCTTTTTCTTTTCTTTTTCTTTTTTCTTTTTGCGGGGCGGGGCTTCAATCGGCAGTATGAATAGATATGACATACCTTCCGGATCCTCTATATCGACCACATCTGGAGAGGAGAGACAATCTCTCCGTTTTCCTTATAGCAATGGGTCATGTGCAAATACGGGAAGTGCAAATACTGTCTAGAATACGCTCCGGCGAGTCAACGTCAATAACACTCTAATACATACTTTGACCTGTGTGTTCTACCTTGGCCTCGCTGGTTTAAAACGGAAGGCAATCCCCTCACCCCATTAATAATGAACCTAACCACCCGTGCATAGACCGATTATACGGCCGCAGCTAGCACTCCTCTCCGGATACCTCGAGCTTTCGATATGCTCGACGTTTGACTGCAACTCTCTGGGTATCACTAGCATACTTTGCCTCTTCCTCTAGCCCTCCCAAGTAGCCTGACTGTCTGATATTTCTTTTAGTGGTACGTAATATTGGTTATTCGATATAATATATACAGATTCAATAATCATTTACTGATGGTCACTATAGGAAACGTACTCCTGTGCGTCATATCATTGTATCTTCTCCTGCGGAATCTCCGTCTCCATGGCACTCCTGGCTCATACGGCCATCATGAGCTATGGCTCCATCCTCGGCCTCGTCATTGCTCTCTTCGTGGCATCCGCCCAAGCCAAGATCATCAACGAGTGTGTTCTTATAGACTCTGACGGATCGTCGGTGGGCGATCAGTCCGGGTTCAGCGCAGGTCGAAAGGAAGCCACAGACTGGGTGGGTGAGCCGGATATGCGAGGCTCCATGACCATCGTCACTACCTGTCTCGTCACATTAGGCCTGTGCGTTTGGACTTCAATACATGTGAATGTTCAAATCAATCAGCTACCTTTCTATCGGCTCAGGCACAAGATAAAGACCTCTCTCACGGCGCTGCTATTCCCCAACCTTGTAGTGCAGAGAGCCCATGATGAGTGGGCAGAGATGACACGGCTGTACGAAGCTTTGGCAAATGTAAAACACATACACGAAACGACAAAGGAAGCCGCAGTCGAGAAGTCAGAGAAAAATTCGACGACCCACTCAGAATCGGTCGAGGGTCCGTCGCTGAAGAAATGGTTCAAGAGATGCATTGGAATGCTCCCAAAGGATCCAAAAGCCAACCCCAACTATCCCTTCAGCAAAGAGGTTTGTTTCTTTGTCGTTATGCACGGCTTCATCAGGAAAGTGAGCGAGGAGAAGGGCGGGGGGGACCGGCCCCTGCCTAACATCATCACCCCCGAGGACTTCTTCAACGCCTATGCCAGAAACCCTGAAGAATTCCCTAAGATGATCAAGGAGAAGGAGATCCTCGACAAAGGCAACGCAAGTAACATTGCAAAGCTCATTATCCTCGCACAGGTCACCAAGATGGTGTTGCAAATGATTGGCCGGAAGGCCATGAACCTGTCTGTTGCGGTGCTTGAGCTCCACATATTTGTCCACATTCTCATTACTGGTCTACTCTACTCGTATTGGTGGTATAAGCAGCTTGACGTCAACGAACCTATGGTACTCGATATCGGTGAGCGGTACTGGGCCCCAGACCCTATGTGGAGTCATCACTCGGAAGAGGCTCTCCAGCCCACAGAATGGTTCAAACGCTTCAGGCAAAGACACCAGCCATTACTACGGTTCGGGATTCAATACCCAGGAAAGATATCTGCAGACGATAAAACGGAGATACCGAATCCCGCTATCCATTGGAGTCTTGCGGTCAATCAAATTAATGCGATGCGTTTCAAACGTACCACCGGCAGGCTGGAATCTGCCAACCCCCTTGAGCCACTCAATACCCCCCCGTCCCGGATAGAGAAAGATCAGGAAGCACTACGGAACCAAGTTACCACCGGAGACGTCAAGACGGACCCGATCACGACAGACTCCTCCTCCTCCCCCGCCCCAAAGGACTACGCTCTAGAGCCTCGAAGTGGCTGTGCAGCTATCCCCAAAGGCCTTAATAGAAGGACCAAGTTTGAAAGAAATAGACGTGCTATGTGGTTCTACATTGTCTATGCAGGCTTACACGCCACTGTTTGGAGCCATTGGTACTTTCCGACTCATGAAGAAAAGTGGATCTGGCGAGGTGCTTGTATCGGGGTAGCGAGCGTGCCTGTATTGGTTGTAGTGCTTGCATACTTGAAAACTCTGTGGAAGGGAAGACGCGAAAAACCAGACGCAATCGAAACTGCGGAGAACGGCGGAAAGACGGGTGAGCACGAGAAAGAAAAGAAAAAGAAGAAATTCAAGGCCAAGAAAAGTCTGTTGAAAAGGTTGTTCACCCTTAAAGGGTTTCTGGAGTTGGTATATCTCATCGCATCATTTGCATTGTTAGCAGAGTCATTTGCCATCCTCCGGGCGGAGGATATCAGGACATATGAGATCAGGTCGTGGACCGCAGATCTGCCCGGAGTCAGCTAATCGTTTTTTTTTTTTTTTTGGTGTTTTTATTTTCGCTTACTTTTGGCTTTTCTTCCCTTTTTCATCTAAAATTTTCTCGCCGATTGCTATGGTACTGTCGGTACTAGTAGTGGCTCTCTCTCCTTTGTATTAATTCTATCCCAGGCCCAGTAAGTACTTGACGCTAACGGGATTAAATCTAATGATCATGAATTTCTCCTTTTGTCAACGTGTTGTTTTTATTTCACGTGATGTATAAATAATACAACATGACGAATACAATGATAATATTTCTCTGCGAGGCAGGACATACAGCCACTCAGCAAAAGTGTTCGTGATATGGTTTTAATGTCAGTGCGCAGTGTGGCGCACCCGTAATACTGATCTTATTAAAGTTGAGATTCAAACCAACGAAAAATATATAATATAGTTTGTGACTATATATAAAAAGAAGATAGGCCATTGATCTTATTCTTCATTAATTTGGGCGCCATTGGTCACTGGGAAAGTCTTCTCTTGGGGGTTCTTGATGGTCCGCCGCGGTTAGTACATATGGAGAAATTTCTCACTCCGAAATCGGAATCACGAACACTTTTGCAGAGTGGCTGTACATGTACAAGTCGGATGCCATAAATTCCACTATTCTTATAATATTTATGTGTTTGTGTATAATAATCCCCAAAAGATTCGAATTACTGACATTATGCCAACGTCACCAAACTAGCCCTTGTATCAGCTGAATAGTATAGGTACAGCAAGGATATATATATGTGGCAGCCGATATCGATATTAACTTTTGCCTAAAAGCGTTTGCACGAGGTTATAGCACAAATACCAGAAACCTCCGGCCACCCCCAGAGCCACCGCGTACCAACCTATTAAATATGTTCTTTGCCGGCCATTAAGGGGAAAGTTTAAAATCTAGCCTTTTAACGCTGACGTCTTTCATGAACTGTAGTGCTAGCTTTGTACTCTCTACCTATCAAATCATAGGATATCTCTAGCTATAGACAGAGGACTTTCATAAGGAAAAAGGGGGGGGGGGGGGGGTTAATTGCTCTACCTACCTTCTAGTATATGCGCACAGTACTTCGTTATATTCGTTCTACTTAGTGCATAATCACGTAGCTAGTAGCAAATATCACTTAATTAATCCCCAGTATACCATGTAACCACCGTTCTATTCTTCGCTTGGATCATCGTACATAGGTTAGATCCGGCCATGTATGAGCAGCCTAACATCTTTTTGATATATGGTAAATTATATGACACGGGCTCCGTTTTGGAATCCAATGCAATAGCATCCCAGCCACTTCTCCCATCGCTAATTGATCAGCGATTGCCATTCGTTGTAATCTAATGAGCGATTTCTCGTTGATCCAAATTATACTTCTCTTTCTCCATATATATATATGACCCTCACGCTGAAGTTCCGGTGGGTGTTAGATTAGCACCAGCCTAGTGCGGTACTGCGTTGATGGCGCTGATAGAGCAAATTTCTCATATCATGTATATGCTATACTATTTATCGCTCGAACCAAGAACATCGCTTGGACATGCTTCGCTGTCTTGGTGCTAAGACACCCGATGACCTTTGAAATTAGCTCTCAAGATATTTTGATTACACTGACAATATTTCATAATAAGCTCAGTTTGGTGGTAGATTCCATAATTCGATAACTTGGTTAATTCGTAGCAGCTGTTCTTCTAATACCAGGTTTCCCTGAGATTGTTGATCATCATAACTATGTGGTCATGAGGTGCTGTTTCGCTCATTCCTTGTATTGTATCACAATATGCCATATGGCTGTTGTTAACTTGCTGTTCTAGCCCTGTGGGGATCAATCACTCATTCTCGGGATCCTAAATCAACTAGCCTCATATTATATCACTCGGATCTCTCTATGTCTTCTTGGATCATGAATTAGCACTCTCATTCACCGTTCACTACATGTATTGATTAATTACTTCATTTAATTAGAGTATAGCTGTTTTCATATTCATGTCTACCGACTCTACATACACATTAAGTGACGGCCCATTTAGGCAATGCTTAAGTATGTATTGCTAGTATCAGTTAGATCACGTCACATACACTGATACCTAGGAGAGTAATTACGGTTTCCTAACTCGGGAACTACCTTAGGTGTGTGTAATCCAGTGCGGACAGACAATACGAAAACTGCTATAATAGACGTACACACCATCCTGCACTGAGTAGCGCAGGTCCCACCATGTATGTATTTGCATGTGGCGGGGTAGCTGGATGGTTGAGGCTCTCAGCGGGACAATCCGTAGGCAGTCACAGGAACAACAATCTATTGGGTGACGTTTTGAAGCGGTTCGGATGAAATTTAGAGTAATAAAATTTGGATGGCAACGCTCCAGATTCAGAATCTGAGTGGGGGTGTGGCATTTAAATTTTAAAGGTTTCGGGTGGGTCCTAATGTTACGCACTAAATATAAGCCAAAGTAGTAACTACATACTAGGGTATAGCGAAAAGTGACCAGAATCTGATAAGACAAATACACGTATTCACAGTAGCATTCACTTATCACTTACCCTCAACACCCGGTACTAGAAAGTATTATCCATTATGTACTAGATTAACGATTTTTCTTAGGGGCTTGCAGTCTGATTGGTTGAAAGTCGTGTCCCCTAACCCTGACCGACTCCTGCATGGCAACTAGTCCACCACCAAAACCTATGATGTCATTGCTGAGCAACGGATTAAGCTCTACGGTTCACGCTCTAATTGTAATATAATTAATTTAATTTAATGAATATAATGTGATATGACTGGGAGCGCTGGGAGTGGAAGTCAGTGGAGGAGTCCTAGGTGGAAAGCAGTAGAGGAGCTGGAGGAAGTGGAAGGCGGTGAAGGAGGTGGATCAACCCTCGTAGCTCACTTCCAAACTGGTAGTCTTGAGGCTCTTACTAGTGCTCGATACAGCGGTATCAACAGCAGAAATTACCAGCCCTGGGTTAGTTTCTCCTTTGACCCTGATCTTTTTTGTCCGACGATCTTTTTTGTTGTTGCGAAAAACTTAAACTTCTATTATAACTACATGATTTTCATTCCAACATTGAATTACCTACTCTACTTTACATGTAGTCACGATAAACTCATACGCTGACAGACTTAGGCAGTACCGCAGTACCCCAGGCGTTTCACGTTAATTAGGAAACTGGTATAGACCCTGGGCGTAGGCTACGTAAGCGTACGTAAGTACCACCCACACCCTAACCCTGAGAGCCTGGTAGTCTGGCGCGAGGGTATTAATTAATTACATATGGTTCCCCCAGTCTTAAAGGTAACATGAGAAAAACGCCAAGTCTCGAATAACTTTTCAACCACGATTGATATTAAAAATCTGGAAAGACAAACTCTTCTTCATCATGGTATCCAGCTTTTCTCTTTCCAGATTTTTAATATCAATCGTGGTTGAAAAGTTATTCGAGACTTGGCGTTTTTATCATGTTACCTTTAAGACTGGGGGAACCATACATGTACCCAGGATCCACCCTGATCACGCTTTTCCAACCACACCCATATATATACCTACACTCGGTGACCCGATCGCGAGACCGCGACCAACGATCAAAGTCGGCCCTTATATATATATATATATATAGCTCAATAGGTTGATATTTCACCTATGATGGCGACAAACTTCACCTCCGGCAGACGTTTGAAGTATCAATCAATAAGGGGAATGGTAGAAGATGGCGATCCCATGGAGATGAATGAACATCTCGACGAGAAACTATGTTTGTCCCACTGCCCCTTCCGCCCAAAGTCTCTCAGATTGGTTACGTTGAAGTCTCTCCGTGAGAGCTAACACTTGTCTCCTCAGGCTCGCCCATCAATACCGCCGAAGACTCTCCACAAACATACTCTGACTTCAAGCTTCATCCTGCTCCTACAGAGCCGAAAAAGACCGTCCTTTCTTCAAGTTTATATTACCTCTTGACATGGCATATTGGTAACGCCATCTCCATCCCGGCGACGGCTTTTCTTCTTTACCTGAACCTATCAGAGTACTCCATTGACCCTCGTGTTGGGTTGAGCCATGCTGTAACGTCGAATATCATTGGTGCTCTGCAGCTCCTTGCCAAACTTCACGAGCTGATGATGATCACCAGTCTGGTCAATATCACACGGCAGTGGATACAGCGTAGCCTGCTTGATAGTAAGGGCACCCCATTGGGACTGGTAGGGGCCGAACTATCGATGATGAATGGCGGGTATCTCATATCGGACGGGTACTTGGCAGCGGTAAAGGCGATATTTGGCTGTTTCGGTCAAGCGAAGGACCCGGAAAGGAATTTGCAACGAAGAAACCAGGGGACCATGCTATTTTTACTTGCATTTCTACCTGTGGCGTGTCTATTGTGCTTATTGGTGGGGCCCGCAAGTGCAACCTTGATGATTCCTCGACAGTATTGGTTTTTTATAGAGACGCTCGATATCATGCGCTACTCACCACCTGTCAACAGCTCAAACTACCCTATCTTCATCGACTCACGGCTTTCGTAAATTGAGAATTATCGAGCCACGGATGCTATGGGTTATGAGACTTACTGGAGTGTTTTCTGGCAAAACACTACCACCTCATCAGATTTCTTCAGTGAGCATGACGAGCTTTCCCACTACGCTCCCATCTTAGGAGTGATGGCTACGAACAGCACCACAAGCTGGAGAAGACCGCTGTCAATTGATGCCGAATGGAAAGGAAAGAGTAATTTCAGAGACATCATGATGAACCATCTGAACACATACTGGGGCGGTTGGCTTGCTTTTGGGGAACAGAATCCAAAGGCTCCGCAGAAGTATACCGAGTTCCCAACTCAAGCCACGACAGGGATGACAGGGTTGGAAATGGACGCTGTCTGCAGGTTGAGGGCCAAAGAGAGTTGTATCAATGCCTCTTCTACAGATGACGGAGAGTGGTGTTACATTCCTGCTTTTAAGGACCTAGCTCCGGGGGGACCTCTTCGAAGCAACAGGGACCTCCTGCTGATCTCAGATCATAGGCCTTCAACTACGGGTATGCGAGTTATTTCCGAAATTTTACCGATTACATACTTCCAAAGATGTATATAACTGAGGGGCCCCGTGTAGAGGGTAATGAACGATTTACCAACTCCATTATGTTTGTTTTTGAAGAATATGAGGGGCCAAACCTCTTCGTTTGCACCACCAACGCAACACTCAAAAGTGCTACTGTTCTTTTCACGGACCTGACATCGTTACGCGATCATATAAACGCGAATATATATCTCACTTTAACTTTGATAACGTCACGACCACTCTAGAGCCATCACGACCCTTGATCTACCACGAACATTGGCTCGATACTTTACATATGTACAACTACGACACAAAAAGAGGCGCACTTGTGAATCTTAAAAACCAAACAGTCAGTGATCTAAAGACACCAGATTACAGCACTCCACGGTTCTCTCGGGGGGAAACGATCAATTCAAAGTTGAAGAATTGGGAGGCTGCTGTTGTACAGTCTTTTACATTTTTTACTGGCCCAATCTGGATAAGTAGTAATGATTGGGCCTGTCACATAAACCATATGGACATATCCGAGTTTAACCCGCCTCCGGAGAACCCGGTGCTATCGCCTCAAAGCTATATAGAAGCTGGGATGGTCAAGATTGCTGTCGGTGGTTCATGGTTCAATATGCTCCTCGACACAGATCCAAGTAAAACCCAGTACCAATCGAAATTCTCCCAAGAGACCATTCCCCCGGCCATCAAAGAGACCTATCCCGGACCACTACGCAGCTATAGTTCATCTTTATACGAGCCTCTCGCCCTCTACCGTTTTGGATATGGGTACCGCATGTCGAACCGCACCAGTGTAATTGCAGCCTTTCTTCTATCCCTTCACGCGGTTATTGCTCTAGTCGGATCATTATGGCAGCTGCGACAGGGTGTATTGTTATCTCATGGGGGAGCATTCCCGAGTATGTTGCCTTGTGTGTTGGCAGTCTGCCTCCGACTGAGGGAATCAAAAACACCTGTGCGGGCATTCAGAAAGCGGAGACACTACAGCGCAGGGTGAGGATTGGGGAAACTGTCAACCAACGTTTAGAGATAGCAGTGATAGGAAGCGGTGACGAATTGAACATGATGGATGTGAAGAAGAGGAGGAAGTATGGAGATTTGTACTAAGGATCACTAGTAGTTACTACATGAGGTCGAGGGCAAAGCGTGACAATTTCAGTAGCGTCGATAAGACCTGAATCAGAGTTACATATTGCGTTCTTTTGTATTTATCTCTTTTCTTTTTTTTCTCTTCTATTCTTTTCTTAATTCTTTTCCTTTTTCTTTGACGAGCGCAATCCGTAATGATGGAAACCGACACACGGAACATTGATGTCAAGTGTATGAGACCTCGCTACTGGCTCCATGGTCCATAGCACGTACATACAATGATTGATAAACGTATTAGATGGGGGATATACTTTTATTTCTGAACCTGTTTTGAGGCTTACATATTTGCTCAAGCTCTTTTAGGCGAAATGATTGGCACGTATATTTTCTGTCTTTGTCGTATGTAATTAATACACTGTGCTCAATCGGGGGATGGAAGAAAAAACAATGACTGTTTCTTCAGGTATGACAGACAGAGGCCTAGATACTTGGTATATGATACGGCAAGTTCTAAGCCATATCGCCCCATGGCCCATCCAGGAAGAGTTCGCCCCTTTTTTCTTCCCTTCAAGCACGAATACTCGAACCTATCATGTCATCCCGTGTGGATTATGATGTTCCTTCATTCCGACGTATACATACCACCCATGTTTACAAATTCCTCCACATTGAATTTTAGTACATATCAGTTTAATTTTTCCGGCGTTGACGCGTGTGGACGCAGAATACATAATCGCTGCAAGCGCGAAGCGGATTGAGAAGGCAAAACCTAGATTCAGAGAGGGAAAATGAGGATCATCTGTTGATAGCCAAATCTATCGATATATCCCTCCCACCACCACAATTAAGAATAGACTTTCTTCGCCTCGGGCTGCTAGCTTACTGCTGCTAGGCTACTACGTGTCTCTACCATGAAACTGCTTCACACTCTGTTCTTTTCTGTGCGAATAAAACTCGTCCTCGTGCCCTTCCATGCAAGCCCTGTGGAAACATGGTCCGTACATCGGCAGCTCGGTACTCTACATGCACTCATATCGCTACTGCGTATTAAGCGAATTTCGGTATATCATAATTATCGAGTCATGGAAGTGTCTGAAATACTTATATCATTATCGATGCTGGAGCAGAGATGCAGAGATCGAGATGCTGGAGCAGATCAGTACTACACTGCAGGAAACACTGCCGGGGGAGCGTGCTTCATAGTCTAGAGTAGAGGCTCACCAGTATGTACCGGGACAGTTCTGCCATACCCGTAAGCCGATTGGTCACAATTACAAGTAAACCTAGACAAAGTGCACAGTTATGTCTCAGCGCCTTTGATGAGCTATCACATAAAATTGCATGTAGAGTAGGGCCACCATGACCCAATTTAAATCACATGGACGCCCACATCCACCATCCGAAACTCTATTTCAAGCACAGATGCCATTGCTCTAGACGATGCCTGGGTGGATCCATCTATCGGATGGCATTTTAGACATGAACAATCACTCGGCCCGGCTATGCATGGACGAGTGATCACTTGTGACCGCTGAACTGACCGCTGAGCCAGTGTATTAAATCGTTTATGGGACAGCGACGAGGGTCCGTCTAGAGTAGGTAGTCAAGTCAAGAGTCTGATCGTCACTGGACCGTTTGATTGCCATATGTAATTTCCTTGTTTGTCCTTTGGCTCATTTTCGTCGTTGCCGATCACCGCCGATCGTGAGCTATATGCCGATGTTTATCAGAACTGAGGTTCAAACAGCTGAGTGCATATATTTACATACTCACATACTCTAGATAGTAGTTTGAACCAAACCTTCTCGGATAGAAGATAACTGCTGATTATGACTGTACTCTACTATACGTACTTGGGTAATAATGTCTCGTAGACACGGGCTAGAGTATGGTGGGGCACCAATCCCCTAACTCTCTCTGGTTCTAGAGTGTGTCGGGACTCGGGAGGCACGTTAGTGGTGGGAGGTGGGTGCATGCTGAACTGGTTCTCGAGGATACACGTGTGCGGTACTGTCGGTACTTGATTGTAAACTCGTGGAGTACTTGTACCGTACCTACCTAGGTACTCTACGAGTCAGTCTATTCTACTCTACTCCACTCCAGGTCAGAGTGTGTACCTACATGTAGGTAGAGTACTCCTCAAGTCTACATTTTTGAGATACTTAGGGTAGATAACACGGGGCTGGTTTCCCAACAGGGGTGGACGAGACGAACCGCAGATCCAAGAGATCTCGTGCAGAACAAAGAACGTTTTGAGACCAGTCCAAGTGTCGCCGCCACGCACAGCCAGATACGTCTAGCTACTTCATGCGAGTCACCGCATCCGGGTCCCTGCCGCAAGCCACACCGCCGCCACGCTTATAGCACACTGTCCCACACTCCACACCAGCCCTGTTGAGAAATCCTGTCCCAGCAAAGCGACCTGTCAAGTTTAATTAGTGCATGCATGCATGCATGTGCGGTGCATACCTACATGGGGAGTAGCTTCGGGAAGTGTGGGTCTCTACTCTCCCTCCAATATGTCCTCGATCCCCACTCTCCATTTGTCTCTCTCTCTTTGGAAGAGAATAACACCCCGCAGCTACAGTCTCCTCCATACGTGTATATACTTGTATTCCACACACATTTGAGAACGTACAATCCCACTAGCCAAAGACAATTCAATCTCTCAAATCCACCTAGTAGTACTCGTACTTACTGAACTATCTTAAAATACCTCCCTCCCCCCTCCCCCCCTCCCCCCCCCCACTCCCCACTCCCCACCCCCCAAAACCATACCTCACCTCTCTATCCCCTCCATCCAACTCAAGAAATAACAACACATTCCTCATCAATCACTCAATTCATCATCAGCCATGTCCAGTAGTGCTCCCCCTGTCGCTGAAGTGCATCCCGCGACCACCGAAGCGGCCACCGCAGCAGAAACCGCAGACATCATAGCTCCCGAGATTTCTGTTGCTTCTTCTGCAAATGTTCTCTACCACCGCTCACCCCCGGTTCTTCCCCACTGGAGGTCAAACTCGTACTAACTTCACTTTCAGAGTACTACTGATGGGGATGCGTCGTCTACGTATGGGACCGATAACGAGAACGGGTACGTTATCGACAGATTCGACAGATCCACCTGAGTTCAGACTTATTTATCTTAGCATGATTGGCTGACATTCAACAGAAGCTTGTATTCAACGGAATCGCTGAGTTCGTCCATCTATGAGTGCGTACACCCCCACCACCGATGGTCATTCCATGTTCCTTGGCTGGTAAGCTAATGAGCGTATCTCAGGTACCGGTATGAGAATGGCCGTCGTTATCACGCATACAAGGCAGGGTTGGTGATATAAATCTCTATGCGCTCATATGAAAGGGAAGGATAGGATTACTGATAAACCCCCGGGGTAATAATAGGAAATACATGCTTCCCAATGACGAGGTATTATAGCCCCCCCCCCCCCAACCACAATCTTTGAACAATGGGCTTATATATACATCGCAGACAGAGCAAGACCGGTCCGTTTCCCCTCTGCTACTGTTCCTAATTCAATACTGACCCCACTTCAACAGCCTCGACATCATCAACCACGTCTATAATCTCCTCCACGAGGGCAAACTCCACCTAGCGCCCATCGACCCCAACCCCCAACATATTCTTGACGTTGGTACCGGTACCGGTATCTGGGCCATCGACTGTGCCGAGTATGCATCCACTCTCCACTCATCCTCTTCTAGTCCCTGCAAACTGACCCAATGCAAAACAGAAAATACCCCTCCGCCCAGGTCATCGGTACCGATCTCAGCCCGATCCAACCGTCCTGGGTCCCGCCCAATGTAAACTTCCAGATTGACGATGTGGAGCAGTCATGGACGTTCAACAAGGATCACTTCGACCTGGTCCACATCCGCAATCTCATGGGTGGTGTCGGCAACTGGGGGCGTGTCATTGATCAGTGTTATGAGTGAGAATCCTCCTCCTCCTCCCCTTTCAAACACAGCACTGATGGCGGTGGGTGCAGACACATTAAGCCCGGCGGTTGGGTCCACATTACCGAGTACGAGATGGCCATCTTCAGCGATGACGGCACCGTCACCCCCGACCTAGAGTACTTCCAGTTCTACGATTTAGTATCTAGAGCTGCCATAAAGACTGGTAACCACCACCAGATACTTTCTCTGGCCAGAGCCCTCCGTACTGACTGCCATCACAGGCCGTGACTACCAGCTGGCGGCCGAACTTGAGCCCCTCCTGGAACACAGCGGGTTCACAAATATTGTGCACAAAGCGATCAAATGCCCCACCGGCATGTGGCCACGCGACAAGAGGCAGAAGGAGATTGGCGCATATCTACTGCTGAGTGTGGAGAGCGGGTTTGAGGCGTTCGGGATGAAGCCATTCACGGAGGTGTTGGGCATGACGGAGGAGGAGGCAAAGGAATTTTGTGGGAAGGTGCTACAACAAGCAAGGAACAAGTTGATTCACGGCTATTCACTACAGTAAGTTCTCCCTTCCTTTTTCATTTATTTTCTCCTTCTTCGTTCTTGGGTGGTGAGGCTAATCGGGTGTGTGTAGCCACGTATATTATGCGCAGAAACCCGAGGAGGACTGTTAGTCCCGAGACACATTTTCGGGACCCGGAAGGGATAGCACCTAGCCCCTGGCTAGTTACAGGCAGAAATTTATATAAGAATTTTCTTTAGCCCCCTCCTCCTTGGGTTTGTGCAGGGGAGGAGAGGTGATTTGGAGCAAATCGTACATACCACATAGCACACATACATGTAGTTATTTCTGTTGTCATTTAACTTATTTTATGATATACGATCAATCAACTTAGATAGGACTTGCATGGCGTCCCCCAGTCTAGGTTCTCCGTGGTCAACAGGCGGGGGGTGGTACACGGAATCAGAAAGTTAATCATGAATAATCACTCGGTCACCGCTTCCCATACTTATTGCTCCATGACAATATCGTCCCTTGCCTTCTGCCAATATGCAAGGCACAGAGGCAGGGGCATTTGTATGCCTAATCTAGCACCACGGGTGTGACTACACTCGTTACACGACGGAACAAAGCTTGCACAGCCTCGTGCTCTGGGAGTGGTGAATTAATAAATTAAACAAAAAAATCTGAGAGTGGTAATATATGCATACAACGTGCGTCATCAAGGTCATCAAGGAAACGGAAGTGCACCCGTATATGTGCACATAAGGCAACCCAACGGACGGCTTACACCCAGTTTCGGCCATTGAGCAAACAAGCAGGTTTACCAATATGCACTTTATTCATCGCACGTGCACCATATTTCTATGCAGATATGATATGTACTGGGACACTTTTTTTTATTGGTGGTGAAATATCCTACGCAACAAACTGGATTCTTGACTTGCTCAAACACAGCTTTAGTCTGCGGTATAAGTCTCATCTTGCGGGAATTGATCCAATGGCCAGCCCACTTCTAAAACCTGTCATTCCCACTCATCAATTTATGGTAATTTATGACTAGTCCTAGGAAAGGATAGAAACTTTGAACTGAAAATAAAGAGTAGTCCATGAACGTGAATGATGGGTATATATATACAAGTTCGGAAGGCGTAATAAAGAGTAGGTAGTGTTGCAATCTAGTTGGTAGTCAAGGGTATTGTAGGAAATACGGCGACAGGTCTATATATACATGTACTTATAATCGAATTAAATGGAAGAGAGCAAGGGGATGCACATATCGATAATAGACGGAGTAAATAAAGCGGAAGGAAACCCAATGTCAGGCTGTAGATCTCGGGTATAAGTACAACGGGGAAAGGCCGTATGAAACGGTGATTAACAGCGAGGCGTCTCCCTCACAATTCGCTAATACTCTCCGCCGGAATCCTTGAAATTTTGTGCCTGAGCTTATTCGAATCCAATATGAAACCTCTTTCAGCGGTTAGCTGTATTGCCGTTTTACCTTCATCGTTCTCCCAAGTCGTCTCAGCACCGAAGGATATCAGTGCATCGATCAATTCTTTGCACTCCCGTTCCACTCCAGAACTAAGCAGAAGATGGAGAGCCGTATTTCCCTGATCATCCCTTGCGTTAACGTCCGCACCATCAATGAATGTCAACTTCTCGTACATCCATAACACATTTGACTGCATGGCAAGCATCGGTGGCGTCCGTCCTTCGCTGTCTCTTGAGTCGATTACGGCCCCGTATTCCATGAGCAGCCTGACAACGTCAGTGGACACCACACGGGCAATTGCGCAAATATGGAGTGCTGATCGTCCCGCGAGGTCCTTTTGTTCAACGCTTGCGCCCCGTTCTAATAGGAGTTTGACGACATGGGGACTACCACACTCTGCAGCTCGGAGAAGTGCTGTTCGTCCGGAGAGATCTTTTTCGTCAACAATCGCGCCGCGTTCCAGTAGGACCTTGACTATGTCTGAATGATGGGTCTCCGCAGCGAGCTGAAGTGCTGATCGCCCTGATTTGTCCAAGGATTTTATGTCTGCTCCACGGTCTAGGAGCAGGTGCAAGGTGCGCGTTCGACCCGCTACTACTGTGTGCATAAGTGGGGTCCAGCCGTGGAGGTCCTTCGACTCGATATTGGCCCCGTTGTCCAGAAGCAGTTTCACAATATCGTTCCACCCCTCAATGCAAGCAACGTATGACGAGAACTTTGAGAAAGTGTCTGAGACTTCGCCGTCCGCATTCATATCGAACAGTGACTCCACCACATGGTCTTGTGAGCGGGAATCATGAAACATCGCTAAAACGGCATCCAAGGTCTTCATGTCCACTTGTCCATCCAGTGTTTTGTCAGCGTCAAAAGGGCCATTAACGACAGCTTCAAGAATCGTTTCCTTTAAAAATTGGTATCTCTCGTTTTGTCCATCCCTATTACGATACGCAGAGAGACGTTGGAGAGGAGATGGAGGGGCGAGTGTGGTGTACCGACGGGAGCTATAGACATATTTGAGCGATATGTCTAAACGGTAGACCGCGATGTTGGATACCTCAGAGAGACTGATGCCAGAGAGTATAGACCATCCTTGAGGTATGCCCTGGCCAAAAATCGATGCTCTTTGATTATTGCGATGTAGGCGATTGTATAATCGTGATCGGGACAGTGTATGTTCGAAGCTTGCCAGTGACACTACGTATACGGACATCACACTCCGAACACTCCCGGTTACGCTAGCCGTGTCTGAAAAGGATAGCTGGTTAGAGCTCGAGGCCACTTTCTGTAGTCTTTGGAGCATCTTTATGTTGGTTGTATATAGCTCTTCTGTAGTTCTTTGCAGCTTTCTCATATTTTCAACTGCCTGTGATTGCAAGTCGCTAATCAAGGCACGAGATGTATTAGCACGGAAGTGATAATCCCACAACATCGATGAACTTGCCATGTAAACATAACAAGCATCATGCTAAGGCATGACTCCTGACCTTTAAGCTGCTTCAGTAGCGCGCGTAGATTCGATTTTGTTGACCGTGACATCACCCATCTCAAGGTGGTATATTTGGGCGAGCTTGCGAATCGATCGAGCTCTCTCTCGAGCTCCGAGAAAGTCATCACGGAGCTAATCAGGATGGTAGTAACTTGGTCAAGGTCTATCATTGAGGCATGGGGAAGGTCGCGTGTCGACGAATGGAGGATGAAGTTTTGTAGACGAAGCATTATCATCCGGAAGAGAGTAACCTCATTCGCGATGGTTTGCGTGAGTTCCTCAACATCATCCAAGTCTTCTAGGAACCTGACGATCTTTGCGCCAGCAGCAAGCAGACCGACAATTGATGCTGTGACCGAAAGAGGATCCATAGTTCCTCTCAAGAGAAGATTGATAGGGCATTAGCTGGTTTGATTTCCTCGCTTGGGCAGATATCGTTGCCGTATTATATATACCTTCAGGGTCTAATTCAAGTGGTGTGGTAAGCTTATATATGTTCCGAGCAATGGTGATTGTCGGTGGAATGATGAGATATGAAGTACAGCGGTAGGTAATACCGCCATAACTCGAAAAATTGGCTAGCTTCCAGAGACCAAAATTACTTGTATGGGAAACTTCTGATGCAGATCAATGCTATTCAACCAATCACTCGAGTGATAATCCCTGGCCGGAGACAGCCAATTTTTCGAGTTTTGGCGGTAAGTGATGGAACACAGCGATACCTGTTTTGGTAAAACGCCACCAATATTTGGTGTTTGTACTCTCAGGGCGTTCCATCACTTATTACCTGTCGCTGTACCTATTATTTACTTACTCTACAAGGGACAGAATCATGACGCCAGGTGAGAGGAATAGGTTGAAAAGGCGAAAGTCTGTTAATGTTGGCTACCCCGCGCTTGCACCGCATGTTTTGATCTACAGCGCCGTGAGGTAGAATTATATTGAAGTAGAGTCTTACCCTGTTTTTGGACCCCTGTTTCTTCTACCTCGAGCTCACGGTACGTACAAGGCCGCCACAACCCCTGTTCACGTATTTAGCGTATTTGACGCCCGAGGGAGTCACGTAAAAAGCACAGCTAGCTACTCTTCAACCTCCTCGTGACTCCCGATGTAAAACATGCATGTCTAAGATTATTTCTCTAATTGATCGTTAGTAGAGGGCTGGATATCATTGACAAAGCCTGGATAGCTAGCACCCATGGCCAGATACATGCACATATCAATACCAAATACATATAGTAGACATTATAGATATATTTACGAAAAGGTTAAATAGAAAGTCAATAGACCAAGTATAATAGTGATATCAAGTCCTTGTTATTACAGCTGCATATAAAAATTTAAATGCTCGCGTAGCCGATTTCCCCATCCTCTACTCTACTAGAGACACAACGGGCCAACCTTTAAGGCTAGGAGATATTCCATTTTTTGGCATTGTTAATCTTAAGGCCTATATACATATGCCGTTAGGATCTCTTCAACGTCTCGATGCAAGTGTAGTTAGGCTCTTCAGTACAATATACTAGCAGTGGCCGAACTCGCGAGCGCGAGTTCCTTTTACTCCAATTAATTGTGCCTTTAGTGGGGCCTTCCATCTCGATCCCCCCCGCCAGTGAAGGGACCTCTTGAGCCCATCATTCTGCTGCGAGTGCCTCATTTAAGGTATCTCTCAATACCACCCAGTTGATAAAATAAATCTACCGTACCACACCCGATTAATGAATTTATCGTTTTTGATACCCCCTTCGGATGATAGCTCTCTCATGTAGGCGGGGGGACAAAAAAAATATTGCCCCGCCCAGGGAGTCGAACCCCGGCCCCTCGCACAACTCTTACCCACCTAGTCGATTCTTGAGATGCAAACCACTACTCGGGGCAGGCAATAAGAACCTGAAAATGCAAGCTGCAAGCAGGTGCTCAATTTGGTGTAGCTTTTCGCCAGCCGCGAATCAGAGGTTATTACCATCAAAGGTCATTTTCAGGTTCTTCTTACCTGCCCCGAGTACACCACCGAGACGTGTTGTCAATGCTGCTATGTCTGTTTTTGGGCGGCTGGTCTTGTACGCGTCCTCCGTGAGTCCCGAGAAGAAATGTGTAAATGTACTATGTAGACTACTATGTAGGGGTGTGCCTGCTCACGACCGCGAGCTGTTAATGCTGGATTACATGAATATTAAACGCATTTGATGGAGGGAACTCCTTCCACCTCCACCTCCACCTCCTCCACCTCTTCCACCACCTCCACCATCTCCACGCCTCCCACCGCCTCCCACCGCCTCCCACCGCCTTCACCTCCTCCCCCCAGTACTCCCGGTCATATCATATCATATAAATTAATTATCTTATAATTATACATACACCTTTTTAAATAAATAGAATTATACAGAGACCTTTTTAAATAAATATTAGGGCGTGAACCGTAGAGCTTCCGTTGCTCAGCAATGTCATAGGTTTTGGGGTGGACTGGTTGCCATGCAGGAGTCAGTCAGGGTTAGGGGTCAGAGCACTCACACCGTGCCTGCCTGGAGGGTGCATAGCAACAGGCGTGGAAGCGAGCAAGCAGGGTAACTTCACCGAATCAAGCAGGGTAACTGTACCAATTTTGATGTGTCGTGCTTACTAAACCCCCTGTGGCTGTCGACCAATCAGGGTGCGAGAACTTTCGAAAAAACCATACAGCCTCCGGCGTTGGAGAATCGCTCTGTTCTCGCCGTGATGGTTGGTCCCTGTTTTCCACCGGAGGCTGTATTCCAGTACATAATAGACTAGTACAGGCCGAGAGATCAGAACCTCGAGATATTCAGGCCGACGATCCCTAATATACTCGTATTTCTAGATCTCTGACGTTTGTGGACGCGACTGATATTGCATGCCATACAAAAATACGCCAAGCTCATGATTTTGGGTGTATGCAATAATGGCCCAGTTCAAAAACATCAGTAGTAATTAGCGATGATCTAGTAAGAAATGCATGCAAGGAAATCTCGAGACCGGTAATGTAGCTTCACCCCCATATATCAGTAATCAAGGCATTCCCAGATCCAGCCCCTCTTGAATCTTGATACGCCCTGATTGCTCTAGCCAATACTTCAGCACTACTGCATTTTTGCATATTTAAGGCGGGTTAGAAAACTATGGATATATGATATGATAGGTGCTACGCGTGTAGACTTACCCCGACATGCGTAGCACATGGATTCAAGTAAATACTTTAGGTACAGAAATCTCTGAACCTGCCTGTCATTGAAGCCGCGAAAAAGAAACGGTGTAGGTAGGTATCAAGATAAGAGAGTGAATCTACTCTACCGGCATGCACCTGATGCTCACACTATCCAATAACTGGCACCTGTTCGCTGTTGTATGTGGTAAGCGCTAGGTTACTCGTAATTTTTTTGCGTTTCCGGACTGGACTGGGTCCGCATACCACCAAAATATGGTTGTCAAGCACGATTTACGCCCATATGCGGACCTAGTCCAGTCCGGAAACGCAAAAAAATTACGAGTAGATAGCTAGGCAGCCTTACCGGACTTTCCCTCATAAATGATTATAGCTAGATCCCTAGATGACGAGGTATGTAATCCCCTTTGTGAATTTTATGTAAATCTACTATGTACTGGAATATGATTCTTCTGAGAATGAAGCAACCTGATTGGTCGAGAGCGACAGGGTATTTAGTAAGCACGACACATCAAATTCGGTGCAGTTACCCTGCCTGATTTGGTGCAGTTACCCTGCCTGATTTGGTGCAGTTACCCTGCCTGATTCGGTATGGTTACCCTGCCTGATTTGGTGCAGTTACCCTGCCTGCAGTGCAGGTAGCGGGTGCGCTCTGAATTTGAGGTGTCGCGCCCGTTGCTATGTGCACCCTTGAGGTACGGTGCGAATTCTGAGTGTGGGTTGCGGAGTTGCGGAAATGCACCAAAAAAGACCCTGAAAATAACCCCCGGTGCGTCAAGTGGCCGGAACCCCCCTATTTTGCACTGGTGGGTCTTTGGGAGCTGGGTGACAACACACACAACTCCTTTGGACCGGACTCCTTGCCAAAAATTAAATCTACTGAATAAAATCTACTGAATAAAATCTACTGAATAAAATCTACTGAACAAAATCTACTGAATAAAATCTACTGAATAAAATATCATCAAGAGTTTAACAATCAATATCTTCGAATAAATTATCTACTCCCAAGCCCAACAAAGTTCATTCCATACCGTTCCATAGTGTTCTCACCCAGCTCTCTCGACAACATGTCGATAATTAAATGCACAACCTGCAAACAGGATAAAGATATTGCAGATTATGATCTCGATCGTAATGGCCGACCCCGTAAATCATGTCAGCCATGCTTGGTGAGTTGTAAAATTACCAATGTTAATTGAATTCGGCTGATTCAGATCTTCATACAAGGCTCGCTCGCGCGAAAATACACGACGCCGGACAGAACTACGACGACGGCAAGAAATAGTCAATAATGTAATTGTAAGTAGTAAAATCTCTCACAGTATCAATACTTGGGGCTCCTATTCTAATAGATACTCTTATGGCAGCCATCTCGGCTGCCAATTCTACCGCGGTACCACTAGCATTCCAATCATCACGAGGCCGTTGGACGCCATTGGAGTTAGGCAGGATGACAGTGATTTGTCCATCATGTCAAGCGTTATTGTAACGGAGGTCTATGGGCGTAGGGACTATGGTGCCAAGGAATACAACCGAGGCGAAGGCGTAGCAATAGGTAATCGGGACTATGGACTATGGAGTGGCTCTACCTAGTATGACTAACTAGTTGAACCCTATGACGAGGCGTAGAACAAAGTAATATTCGTGGAGTAAATACAAAGTCGTGAAGAGTACTGCAGTGGCACTCGCTTGGGTGCCCTTGCCGGATACTCGGGGCAGGTAAGAAGAACCTGAAAATGACTTTGATGGTAACAACCTCTGATTCGCGGCTGGCGAAAAGCTACACCAAATTGAGCACCTGCTTGCAGCTTGCATTTTCAGGTTCTTATTGCCTGCCCCGAGTACACAGCCAGTCTCGGGTGCTCCACATTGCCTGTGGTTGGTTAGCTGGGAGATTAGCTTTCGTCCTTTCTAAGCTCTAACAAACCACAACCACAGAAACTGCTCAGTGTCGATCACGATCAACAGCTCCTTTTCTCGCATGTTATTCTTGCGTGATAATGATAGAACCATGGCTAGGGCAGGGAGTTATTGTTGGACTCTCGATCCCCCTGAAGAATAATGAGAAGGGAAAAAAGAAGTCGTCAGCGTTTCGTAAGTTTGTTTTTCACCCGATATAACAGGCTATTATGTACGTGCGTGTTGAACTTTATGTTTTCTGATATTAATAAATCCGAAAGACTACATGTA